TTCCTCTAAGTCTGACGTACACCATAGAAAACATGTGTACGTCAGCGTGCATGGCACACGGCAAGATCCCACAAACAAATAGAATGAATGAAAACCAAATGGAAAACGATACGATAACAGAAATGACAAAAGAACGTGCAACTGAAAATCCAATAAAATCAAAATGCAATCCACTACTAAAATATAATAATCAGAAGAATTCAAAAATCAAACAGTAACGAGGTCATGCAGCTAGCAATCAGAATAATCATCCAAGTAACAAGGTCATACAACTAGATGGAATTTATACTTAAAAATCTACAACAAGAGACGTAGTACGTCGAGCGAAATAATTCAAACAAGGAAACTCTCATGTATATACCATATGTCTTAAATTATAGATAATTAAATATTAATCCCGATCTATGTATGAAAAGAAATATAACTGGCCTACATCTCACAGCAATTCATACTTAGCCAAGAAACGAGGTCATGTAACTAGTCATCCTAAAACTCACTGGTCCACATCTCACATAAAGTGAACATTCATATCACCGGATAACTGACTGTTCACAAATCATCTACGCGCATTCAATACCGCTACACGAATCGATCAGAGAACTACACGCAATCCGATCTCGGCCTAGTTCGAACTCAGGCAAAGCTCAGGTGACGAAACAGGTCACGGACTAAAGTAACTACACGAATTCACTTTAACCCAACAAGCCAACCCCAGTGACTACACGAATTCACTGGCGTGAGCCTGAAAGATACATCAACAGCCACATCCGATCACATGAACAAAGACTTTCTCATCCCAACTCTTCTCGTTTTTTTTAAGTCAACAATCAAAGTCCACAATATCTCTGGTTCACCACATAAATCAGTCAACACACTCACACATATCACTAGGTCTGTTCATGACGCACAAGACCACTAAGTCATGAACTACTAAGGGTTCTTAACATAACCAGGAACAATAAAAGCAGACATGTCAAATACAGTAAAATATTCACAAAACATGAAATGTAATCATGAATCAGAAAAAACATGCATACAGTCCGGTTTCATCAATATCTTGTTATCCGAATCTCAAAACTACTCATAAAAATTATCAGCAGCTAAATAATATCCAATATGACTACAATTAAAACTGAAATCGAAAACCGTGATTGTTTTGTACATGAAATGTCGCAGTCTACAACTACCCACATAAAATCATAAATTACTTAAAATCCAAAATAAATAATTCTTTTCGCAAATAAATTCTTTTAAATTATCATAATTATCAAAAATATAATTCTTTTGCCGAAATAACTTAACAACTCAAAATAACCCTTTTTCGAAATAAATTAATTTAAATTATCGATTTTAATGATTATTCAAAACTAACCCATTTTCCAAATAAATTCTTTCTCATCATAATTATTCTAAAAATAATCTCTAAAAATAATAATCTATTAATTCTTATCCTTACAATATCAGTTATTATCATCTATCATCAAATAATCCACGCAGATAATTATATCACAATTTAAAAACTACAACCAATTACAATAGTCAAAATATGCATATATTGTATAATAAATCTTAAATTCAGATTTGAGCAAAAGGGATCTTGCATCGAGTTGTGTTGAACGATTTGACGTCGACGGCACGGGTCGGTTCGGACACGGTGGAGCGCGGCGTCGGTTATGCGCTGCAGAAGGGAGGTGACGGCGTCGAGCTGTCAATGGCCGCTGCAAGATCTACGCGGTGGCAGGTCGGCGGATTTGGCGAGATGGATCTCTGCGAGGGCTGACCGCGGGGAGGCGACGGGGACTGTCCGCGAAGGGAAGAGGGCAGCGGGGCTGACCAAAGCGCGCCGTGGTCGGCGTCAGCGAGGAGCGCTGTCGGGGTGCCGGGGGCAACGCGACCTGGCTGGTTCGGAGAAGAAGAAAGGGCGGGTTGACGTGCTGGCGGGCTGAGGAGGGGAACTCAGGGATGGATGCAGCGTGAAGGGGAAGACGGCGACGGCTGAAAGGGCGGCTGCTCGGCGCGGTTGAGGGCAGATCTGCAGCAGGAGGACGAGCTGTGGCCGAGGGCGGTGATGGCGATTGGTCGGAGCTCGTGGGGCTTGGCGCGCGCTGATCGGTTGAGACGGGCTGAAGATGCTGCTTGTGGGTCAGGAGGGAAGGGTGGTGGCGAAGCTCAAGGGGGTCGGAGAGGCCTGGCTCTGTCGGGTTGCCTGCATGCGGTTGGTACAGAGAAAGAGTGGCCGCGGGCGAACTTGCGGGGTCCGTCGCGCTGCCAAGGGCGGGCCAAGGAGAAGATAGAGAGAGAGGAGATGCGGCGCGTGTTTTGAGAAGAGTAGGCACTAATGCAACTCCCCAACCACACCTTGGAGCACACCCTCTCTCTCAGCTACAGTGCAGGGGGCCCACTTTAGATTTTTTTTTTAAATCTAAAATGGGCCTCGTGCACTGTAGCTGAGAGAGGGGGTGTGACCCAATGTGTGGTTGGGAGTGTGCCTGTAGTGTTTTCCTTTTGAGAAGAAGAGAAGCGAGAGAGAATACGAGAAAATATAAAATATATACATGTATGAAGGGGATTGGGGTTCCTAAAAATTAATTTAAATTAATAATAATTACGAAAAAATAATTACTTATGTGAAAACTATCTACATATCAAAACCGTACCAGTTGTAGTATTACAATCGATAATAAGCAATAGTGAAAATAATGCAAGAAATTACACAATTAAACAAGAATAATTAATAAAAAATATAATTACTTATATTTAAAATCAAATAATTATAGGATAATTATCTACGCGATAAAACGTACCAGTTGTGCTAATACGACAGTTGATACATAATTGTAGAAATAATACGTAATTAATAATACAACATAATACACTAAATAATACATAATAGTAACAATAATACAATGTATTATTTAAAATAGTACGTAATAGTATCGATAATACAACAGATTAATTCTAAAAAATTTCACCGCACGAAATTAATATATAAATATTAGAATCATTTAAATAAATATAAAACTTGGATTTTAAATCATAGAAAATTATAGAAAATCAAGAAAAATACAAATACTCTTTTTTAAAATAATAATTGAATATTTTAAAATACCAAAAAATTATTTTAACTAGTATCAAAAATTCATGGTCCTTACAAAACCTGTCAGGCGGTCGACCGCACCTTGTGCGGCGGTCGACCGGCACGCATATTTCTAGTTTGTACAGATTTTGCCTTTGTGCATGTTTTCGACTCGATTCTTTCACATATACGGACTTGTTTGAACTCAAAACACTTGCTAACATACTCATACACCATTTAATGATATTTATTACAATAAATATCCACTTATCTCAATAATCGCATATTATTTCAAATTTTCACATATTAATTTAAATTTATGGGGTTTTACACATATATTTAAACAATTGTATATGAACATTAACGGGTTCATATTCGTTTACTCCATAAACTTCATAATTCATGTTCTTAAACAAAATACCTTCTTAGAGCGGCACCGTTGATTGAGAACCTAGGGTTGACTTTCTTGTCGATATCCATCTACGATTGATCGGTTGCGTTCGCCATGGGTACAGTGATTAGATGGGGGAGGGAGGCTGGTATTCGGAGCGGCATCGGGTCGGGTCCAAAGGTCAAGGATTTCGTGAAACTTTTTGGGTTAATTGCATCTTGGTCCCTTACATCATCTTGAATTGCCAAAGAGTCCCTCAAATCTTATTATTTGCTTATTAATCCCTTAAATCTTTAGTTTTCTTACCAATCTGTGCCTCGTGTTAGGTGGTGTTATTAATGACCGTTAAATGTGACGGAATTAGATAGGACACCCATTATACCCCCACCTATACTAACTCAAACCCATCTCCTTTCTTCTTTGATAGTCCTACGCTTCCCCCAAACCCAAAATTTAGGTCATTAATCCCGTAGCTAGCTTCCCTCTAAACCAAAAACTTGGAAGGGAAATGTATAACCCGGGGGCAATAAGGTAACCTGAATTGTTAGGTTAAACATTAACTCAACTAGAGTTAGAGAAGTTAACATTTTTTCTAACAGAAGGACCATGTAGCAAGAAATTTAAAGATTTAAGGGATTAAAATGTAAATAATGAGATATGAGGGACTATTTGGTAATTAGAGATGATTTAAGGGACTAATATGCAATTAACCCAGTTTTTTAAGGTTCAGGGTGCCTGACGAAAATTAGAATTGTCAGAGGGAATTTGTGTAAAACTGTCCAAAGTTTACAAATCCCCTCTGAGCTTTATGAGGTGTTGCAAAAAAAAAAAAAACCTTTTTATTAAATTTCCCCATTTTATAAGGTTCAGCCATATAATTATGGAAGAATTTCAGGTTTAGATTCGCTTATTTGATGAAGATATAAATATTAGGAAAAACCCATTTATTTTTAGATGATATATATCCTTTTCAATCCAATAACTCAATAACCGACAAGTAATCTCATGTAGATTAGTCCGTCTAGTAGTGATTAAATTTCCACAAGCCCCCTCCCCTTATATATATCCTTTCCAATTGTAGTATGTTGCAAATTTTAACTTGATCATGATTAACATTATTGATATGATAATTAGAGACTAAAGTAATAAAACAAGTTACAAAAGTCCATACTTTTTTAATCTTAAAAATCATGATTTGTTGACAAAGAAATATTGAATACTAAATATTATAGAACCTCAAAGTCAATCTAATACTATTCGCTCGTAAGAAATATAGGAAACATGTTGCTGCTGCTGGTGTATTTCAATCTTTCAATAGGAAAACATTTTTATTGGTTTTTTTTCCACAAATTAAAGATCCGACAGCATATAAAATTTTATTATCCATTTGACTTGAAGAGTTATAGAGAAGATATCATGCTTTTATAGATGTTATCAAAACTGCAACAAAATTTACAAATCCACACACAGTTATTGAACATTCAAGCATGAAGCAGAAATGCTAAAAAGAACTACGAGTACACTTCCATGAAGTGAAACAATCAGGGACCTCTTTCTGATCACAGACGAAGTAGCAACTAAGTCATGTCAAATTCAAAAAAATCATCATATAATTGTATTATTCAGGAACAAGCACGATCATACAGGACTTCTCCAATTACATACACTAAATTGTTACATCTTTATCCGAGATTTTGTGTTCTTCAAGCTCTGACAATGGCATTCACTTCTATTATTTACCAGCCAGTTGTCAATTCCAATTTCACATGCACATCCAATACATATTCCTGCTTGAATACACATGTTTCAGTAATCTACTCCCGATCACTGGAGTGGATAATAAAAGCCCATGATTCCATGATTAAATCTTGAGCTTAGATGCCATGAAGATGGATGAAGATGAATCTGTAAAGAAGATGGATTCGTATCATTAGAGCCTAAAAGAACGTGCATTAATCAGACAAAATGGGTAAATGTTTAATAACCTCCTTAGTACTTTACTACTTACAGAGGGGGAAAAAACTAGTTTTTCCTTCATATCATTCTATTTTTAGTCATCCAATTAGTTTGTGACTTCGAGGGAAGGAGGGAATAAAACAGATTATTGTAGCTGACTGAAAATGGTTTTGAACAAGGCTTTGCAACAGCGTCACCTGTGAAATTCCAGTTAATTATTAAATTTCAAATCTCTGTGCTACATACAAAATTCATGGCAAAAGAAATAGTAAACATGTTGCTTCTTCATCTTAAACTTTCCCCTAATCAAATTTTGGATCAGTTAGGACACAAGATTCCAGAATAAGAAGGCATCAGTTATATCGAAAAATTTCTACAAACAGCTTCAGCCTTACACCAAGGTTGATATCAATTTTACCTTCTCCTAGCAGAGTACCAAATACTGAAGTCTCATTATCATTTGAAATGACAAACATACAAAAACACACTTTGCGCATAGTCTAATATTCAGACTAGATAGAGAATGGCAAATAGCTCAATAGGATGCTTTTAGATCAGTATGAGCTTATGATGATAGTGATTTTGATACAAGGACCCTCAACAATAACCTTGACAGTCATGAGCATGGAAGGGCAAGACAACATATACAGGTGTCAACATACTAGAAATAGATTACTCTGGATTGTGAGGCTTTAAACAAGTTTAAATAGCATTAGATCACTGCTTTTCTCAGCTACATACGTTTGCGATATAAGTATCAGATAAATAAGTCGAAGGGAACTTGAAGTGGCAACTGTTGAACAAAACACCATACAAAATCCTAGTCAAATTTGTATTCATAGGGAACTAATATAAAGAGCAGCAAAACAGTTCAGCAGTTGTCTGGGAACAAAATCCAGCCAACTTGCAAAACTCAAGGGACTGAACATAGGTAAACATTTATATGACTCCTATTTTCCACTTTATTGTCAAGTAAAAAAGGAAGAAAGCAAAGCATGGTAGTTACTAACATATAACTTGTTAGCAACTGCAAAAGATGTAAATTATTGATGGATAAAGGCCATTGCACAACCTGAGGAAGATGTAGTCTGACACGTAATTAAAAACTTCAACTACATAGAATCAGTTTTTTGACAATTACATATTACAGCACTGCAGATGCATCATCAACTTCCACAGGAAAAAACCTTGTGTATATATTCATTATTCATAAAATAAAATTATCCAAGCCATCAACACTCTTAGAGTTTAGAACCTCAATGTGCAATGTGCTGCAAATGTTAAAAATTATGAAACAAATATATCATTTCTATGCTTCCACATACGTGACATGAAACATCTCATATCACTATTCATGTTCATGACAAATACTGGTATATAGAACTCTGAATAATAAAACAATCAAGATAAATCAATTTAGAAAGATAGAAATTTTCTAGGAAAGTCAGACAAGCTAGCAAGAGAAAATGACTATAAAAGTACAAAACAACAAACTTGAGTGTCGTTTCTATAGCTATAAATTACAGAGAGAGAGAGAGAGAGAGACTTTAAGGCTCTGTGATCTTTCAAGAAATAGTAAGTGAGACTACAGGTTAATGATTTTTCAAGAAAAAGTAAGTGAGACTACAGGTTAAAGAGTAAGAACCCCTCATTATATTCGTAAGGGGAAAAGAGGAAGAAAGCTTAACGAAAAGAGTTCAACTTATATTCTACCAGCTAGACCTAATGATATTCTCCAATGAACTGGCAATTATGTAAGAAAATGATTGCATTTCTCTGTCTGACTCCTCCTAGAATTTCATTTTCTACAACTCTAAATGCGATAAATGTAGCATATGTAGCATGTTTATGGACCAAACTACTAAAATAAACTCGATTTTTAGTATGCCATGGCCAAGACAAGCTTGGCACATTGCAGTTCCACGATTCCTTGCTTGCTTAATATATATCCATGAAGTATACATTATATCTCCCTTGTTTTTCCTAGAATCCCTAAATTAAACATATAACTTTTGAGTTAGCTAATAGATACCAATCAAGAAAGGCATATATCAATAAATCAATTCAAAGAATCAACCAAAATTGCACTGAGATCCTTCTACCAGATGTACAATCATCAAAAAATACCAGCGAAAGCAATTCTATAACAGCATTTGGGTCGAGAAAGAAAGTAATAATAATGGAAACAATACTGCTTCAAACA